ACTTCTCTTATTTTGTTTTTATTAGTTATTTACTCAGACAAGGAACATGACAATGGTTATAATTTTTTTTCAAAACAAACGTTCAGAAGTACAAATAAAAATCATTATGGTACTGAAATGATTATGTTTACATGTAACCATACGGAAATTATGAATGAATCGGTTTAGAACTCGAAAAAGACATAATCTTTAACTGGACTGTAATAACAACTACAATGATTTTTTCATAGAACCTTACGTCAATAAATATCCATACAAACAACATTTATTTATTAGCATCATTATTAATATCAAATGTTCATTTTCTCTTTTTCAATAACTTATACTTGACATTTTTAACTCAGTTATATTATAAAGTATACTAACGCCCTCTTTTTATAGGCGAGCTCCGAAACAGGAGACAACAGGAGACGCAGCCACGGCTACTCGTTGCTGATCCGACCAGTTGCTGGCGTATACACGCGGCTTCTGCTGGGACTCGTGCCATCCGAGTGCTGACGCCTGCCAGACGGATCTCCCAGTGCCCGTGGTCAAATTGCAGTGTACCTCGCCATAGGAGTGTTAACGGTAGGCCTGTTTCTCTTAATCCTGTCCCTATCGTGAAAGCACTGTGCCAAACAGCAACTGCCGGACCCACAGGGCCGAGTTGTAAGTTGATAGGTCTTGTCGGATGGCTGGACGTTGACATTCTTTTGTACGTCATGCATAGTCATTGTCGGAATAAACACATTATCTTTATACATAAATAGATGTGTTTTTCTTAATTGTATGTGTTTGAATGCCAGCTATCCACCTTTTCTAATGGCCCTTAAGAATAATTGTTAATAAATATTAGATGTACCGTGTCTTGCTGCTGACTGCGAGGCGAACAAGGCCCGACATATCACAAAATATATTAGTGATTTTATAGAAATTTCGAAAGAAGAAGAAGAAGATCAGACAGTAAGTTATATATTTAACGAAATGTAAATCATGGAAAATAAATTAATAAAATTAAAATCAAGTGCGAATGTACTATCGAATAATTCTATATTAGAATCGAGGAATCACTCAAGGAAGCAAAAAAAAATCCTTCTACTGTCGTAAAATTGAACGTTTTAAGAAAGATTACCTGAATGCAAACAATACTTGCTAAGTTAATCCAGAACAGAGAGGTGAAAAACAATAATTTTTTTGGAAATAGCATGGTGTGGAGCGTGGAGAAACAGAGGCAAAGGCAGAGGCTTAAATGAACAATGATACAGAGGCAGTTTGTAGTAATAAGACAACGGATCATTTGGTGCCTTCACAGCAAAGACTGTCGAGTCTATTACGACGCGTAGTGAAACTAAAGAGTAATAAATCCATTGGCTTTACGTACTGATCATGTCGTAAATGAAAATGATATTTTAGTATTTAATTAAAAAATAATACAGTAAATGTGGAATGATAGAAGTTTGAATGCCACAAAAGTTAGTTGTGTCGAGTTATTTTTAAGTTTTTAATAAGTCGATATAAAAATAAATGTGTCAGATGTTTTTTATGTAAAACACATAGCTAAAAATTTGATTAGTTTTGTTAAGGTAACGCATGAAAATAAAATAGTTGCTTGTAACAATACGGCTAGAGTTTTTCATAGTGAGAAGACACTTTTAGTAATAGCGTACAAAATAAATAAATTATCTAATATGCAAGCTGAAATTCGAGAAAAAGTGTTAATGAATGCAAATTCTCTAAAGACTTTTACAAGGTTGAATCCTGTTTATTTCAGAAGATTAAGAGGAAGCGTTACAAATAACTAGAAGCTCGTGGAAATTCCAACTGTTCCCACCGACGTGACAAGATCGTCGTTTTCAGGACCTCTCTTCTTTCTAAAATTCGAAAGGAATATAGGAAGACATCACCTTATACCAAGGATGTGCATAGAAAATAAAATGTATAATTTACCATTTGATACTAATACAGAAAAGGATAAAATATTTTAAAAACTGTTCATACATATGAACGAGCGTCACAATACCACTAGAAAATTTTTTTCATCGTTTATCGATAATTATAGTAACGACACTTGAGTGTATCTCTTTAGAAAAAAAAGACGAAGTTTAAAATTGTTTTGAATCGTAACGGCACAGCCGCTATGAGTTTGCGGGACTAGGGAGGGGAGGCTGGAAAGGAGAAAAGAAATAGAGTGAAGAGAGTCAGACTAGCTTGGGAGTCCGTGTGCAACGGTTGCGAAGAGAGCAAGCTTGAGAAAGGTGCTATCGTAGTGACATAAGGAGGTTAGGGAAGCCAGCGTGTTGCGGAAGAACGAGAGAATTTGTTCGAGATTGACGCTGAGACTTGATATATGAATAGTTTAGGGCCTGTGTTCCAAATCTTAACCGAGAAAATTAGCTGGTAGGAGTGTCCACCAGTTCCTTTGCTGATCTACGATCTTCCTTAAGCTCGACTCCACGCTTCACTATCATCGAAATAAGTAAGTTTACGATTCTCATTAATCAAAGCCTAAAAATTTCCAGTTATTAACGCTCGTTTGTGTGTGTGTCATTCATCCCAAAAATCCCTTGTCTCCGAAGCTATTCATGGTGTTCGATACTTAACTGCTCCTCGCATCAGAAATATTCGTGCCCGTGATAAGTGAGAAGAGCATGAGCCGGTCAGTATTGACTACAGTGACGAAGGTAAGAATCGCTTATGATAAGAAGTACCAACCAGGGTTCTTGGGCTTGATGAACCCAGTCGAAAATAAATAAAGCAGGACAGGAGAATACGCCCTGTTCCCTGCATCTTTTCTCCTCACGCATCCCGTTACATCGCATATTAATAAAGTTAAAAATTTAACTGGAAAAAGAATTTAAAAATTAAGGTGTGATAACAAAAAAAAACGTATAAATAGAAAATTACCCAATTTAGTAAAATAAAAAGAAATTATTACTGATGCAATACCACCTTACGTACACTAACTGAATGGTATGGCTGATAGATATACTAGAAGTATAATTGAAATTTCGAGACGTTTGTTAAGTTTGAGACAAAGTAACACAGAAGATTACGGCCAGACATCGTATACGCTACAGCCTATTGAATGAATAGGACAATTACAAATATTACTGAATTAAAAACTTCTTTTAAAACTTTTTTGTGGAAGAAAAATTATATTGGACATTTAAAAGCGTATGGAATAAGGGTGCTTAAACAAAGAAGAAAGTTAAAATAGGGCAGGATAGCAGATTTAGGTATATTATTCTGGGTTATGAAATTGTTAGATGCAGAGTTTGACAAATAACAAAACTATTTAAGCAAGAAATTTTGATGTTAAAGAAAAATTTGAACATCGTATTACACCAAAATACGATAGTTATAATAAAAATAAAGTAATTCATAAGAAAATCTGATTCAATCACGAAATTTGCGATGTCGTGTCTGAAAACAATATCTACAAATTTACTTAAACCAGAAACAAACGTAAAAAGTACAGAGTAGTGACATTATTACTAAAACGGAATCAGTAGTCAAACGGTTTCAATAAATATTTTATTCAAGAAAAGAATTCTACACTAGCTGTACAGTCGTACATGTCTTCATGAGGCTGACGACGCGATGATCCGTCATTGCCTCGTCAGTTTACAAGCATATATACATATTCGCGGCGCGCACGCTTGTGCGCCGCCGCCATCTTAAGTCGTTACGCTCGCGTGCCTGCTTGCATGGCTGAGCCAGTCTGTTGAGACACCTCAATGCGCGCGGAGCTCCGTTGCCTCAAATCTAAATCATACTCAATTCGCCCTGACACGGCAATAACACATTCAATTCGCCCTGACACGGCAATAATATCTCTCTGGGCCTTTACCGGCGTTTCTCGCGAGTGCACTCGTCGACATAGCGTTAGTGTAGTCAATTTGTTGTGTATCCGATAGCGTATTAAGCTCGAACAGCTGTAACTCGCGGCTCTCGTGCGTGCGTGCGTGTTTTAAGTCGTAGTCGAGTCAAGTGCATGTTAATTTAGTTGTGTTCTTCAATAAAAGGGTTTTTTTTACCGCAAGGTTTTTTCCCCTCAAAAAAATGCAGTGTCTTCATTTGTTTTCCCTTTCCTTATTTTTCAACTAGGCGAGCAAGTCACCTGCGACTCTCTCGCCACGAAACATTTTGGTGCCGAAACCCGGGAGTGATCCTTGCACGCACGTGCGCGAACGAGCCGCCATTTCTTATCGCTCTCTCTTTCGCGGACGAAATCGCGCGCGTACACGCAGTCGCCGTGCACGACGAGAGTCGCCCGCGTGGGTGCAGCATATCCCGCTGGCCACGCGAGGATCATCATCACCGTCAACATCATCGACGCCGCCGTTCCCGCGCCCGGACACACCACCGCCCAGCTGCCGCTCGTCGCACACAGTCAGATAAGTGAATTTGCTATTTCTGTTCCCTTTGTCTCCTGCACATGCGTTTCAGCAGAGGACGCTTACGTTAATTGTTTCTGTCCTTCTCTCTCTTTCTCTCTCTCTCTCTCTCTCTCTCGTTTTCCCTGGCGTGAATTGCGTAGAGTTGCGTGTTGATTGTTGGTGTTCCCGGCACGGCGCACTGTGTGCCGAACCTGGCCGGCCGGTGCCTCGTGTTTGAGCCCTCCTCCTATCTGTACCTTTTTCCATGTAATGTGGTGAGCCGCAGGCAGTCATGGTGTGTACGCCGATCAACGCGTGACGTCCTAAAATTGACTTAATTTTATCTTAGCATTTTGGTAATCACATTTAGTTTTTGTACACCCTAAGTGTTAATTAAATTTCAGCATCATGTCCCGAAAGTCTGCGGCACGCGTTGACTACCTCGTGCAGAAGCTGCAAACGTTTTCTTTCAAAGTGCAAAATTTAAATGACCTTTTAAATAGCTCTTCTGTCGACTCCGTCAATGCGGGCCTGCGGCTCGCAGACCTACAAAAAATACACCAGGATTGCGTCCGATATTGCGATGAATTGACACTCAATCAACCTAAACACCCTTGTTTTGATGAGTTTTTCTCGGCTGAAATGACGTATTACACGGTAGCTTCCAAAATTAAACAAATGAATGAACCTGATCTTAACAGTAGCATCACCAATACCACCATCATTGAGAGACATGAAGCCCCTAAGCTTCCAACGATCAGTGTCCCGCCTTTCAGTGGCAGCCATGAAGATTGGATGTCTTTCAAAAACTCTTTTACTGATTTAATTCATTCACGCACTGACATTAGTGATATGGTAAAACTTTCTCATCTGGAAGGTTCACTGAGGGGAGAGGCACTGTGCAAGGTAGCAGTTTTTCACATTTCTGCAGAAAATTACACACAGGCATGGAAGGTTTTAAATGAGTTTTATGATCAGAAAAGGCTTTTATTAGAAAGACATATCGATGCCGTTATGAGTCTCCCCCCTGTTGGTAAGGCAACAGCAGCAGATTTATCCAAATTAATAGATGATGCTAAACAACACTTGAGCATTTAAGAGCAGCTAGGCGTTAACATCCATCATGAATTTATACTGAGAAGTTTAGTTAAATGTCTCCCCATAACAACTCGTAGGACATGGCAGGAAACCCTAGCTTTAGACAAGTTCCCGACGTTAGATGGATTTTATAAATTTGTAGAAACCAACATTTTTAACCTCAAAGCAATAGAGCAGGAGTTTTCAACACCATCAGCTAGCTATAGGAAGCGACCCTCTGACAATTCTCAACTCTCCCAGAAGGCCAAGCGAACTCCTATCGATTTTTAATGCTCGCTCCTTAGTGACAAATGTTTCACCAAATTGTCTTAAATGCAACGAAGTTCATCGGCTTTATGTCTGCCATTTAATAAGCTTGCCCTTCAGGAGCGGTGGGATTTTGTAAAGAGTAACAAAATCTGCCGTAACTGTTTGCGCCCTCATCCACTACCTTGCAAAAACGAAAGTAGATGTAGAAAGTGTAACAGGGATCATCACACCATTCTACATGCAGACAAGAAATCAAATACAACATCTCAACAACAGACCAAAGGAACACCAAATACTCCTACTCCTGCGACCCAAAAAACTGAAAGGGAACAATCAATTACATCAAAAACATGACTAGACCAGTACTCATTAGCATCATCAGCACATTCACCACACACACAGCTTATGCCGACAGCCATCTTACAGGTACAAAATCTCAAGGGTGATTTCATCTCGGCACGAGCGTTGCTAGATTCTTGTTCTACTGTCAACTTGATCACTTCTAATTTAGCAGAGTCATTAAAGCTACCTGTTAAAGACTGTTCAGTCTCAATAGGAGCTGTTGATGACTTATGCACTATTTCCAAAAAATGCATTAAGCTTACATTTCAATCCAATCACACCAAGTTTGGAAAAGAGTTAGAATTCCTTATTGTCCCAAAAATCACTAACCTCGTGCCAGATGAAATTTTCCCTCGTGAGTTATATCACATTCCAAAAAATATACAACTAGCAGATCCTAAATTTCACATACCTCAAGCAGTTGACATATTATTGTCCTCAGGCACTACCCTAGCAGTATTAGCTGTAGGACAATTAAATATCACTCATAATACGACTAACATAATATTACAGAAAACTAGTTTAGGTTGGATAGCGGCAGGAGGCTCAGACAACATATCAACCTCAAGAAAGGCGTCTTGTAATGTAGTAAAATTAGATACCATGATAGAAAGATTCTGGCTAGTCGAAGAGATAGACACCGAACCCTCAAAATCTCGCGATGAGATAGCTTGTGAAAAACATTTTGTCAATAATACTCGAAGAGACCCTACAGGTCGATACATCGTGCGGCTACCTTTTCGTTGCAATAAATTTGAGTTAGGAGAATCTTGTTCTCAAGCGTTAAATCGTTTTTATTCACTTGAAAGAAAATTTAAGGTAAATCCCAATTTTAAGGTAGAGTATGAAAAGGTGATGCAGGAATATATCGACCTTAATCATATGTCACTAGCTAACGACACTGTAGGAGGTTATTATCTTCCTCATCATGCCATAATAAAATCATCTAGCGAGACCACCAAGCTTAGAGTAGTTTTTGATGCTTCGGCAAAGACTTCCACAGGAATTTCACTTAATGAAGTTTTACTAGTAGGTCCCACCATCCAGGACAAAATATTTGAACAAGTAATTAAATTCCGAGCCCACAAATACGTCATTACAGCCGACATAGCCCGAATGTATAGGCAGATTATCGTACATCCCGATGATCGAAAATATCAGCGTGTACTATGGTACCATAACCACCAAATCAGAACCTATGAACTTAATACCGTAACATTTGGCGTTTCATCAGCCCCATTTTTAGCCATACGCACGATTCAGCAGCTCGCCAACGACGAAGCATCAAATTCACCACGAGCTAGTAAAATACTCCTCAGAGATTTGTATGTGGATGATCTCATTACTGGAGCTGACACTCTCGGTGAGATTATTCAGATACGTGATGAAGTGATTGAGCTGTTGAGTCGAGGCGGATTTACGATACGACAATGGGCCTCTAATCACGAAGCTGCTCTTAACAACATTGATAAGAAATTCTTTGATTTAGACTGTTTGATAAAGGAAAATCCTGTTCAAAAAACGCTGGGAATCATTTGGAATTCTCAACATGACAAACTCCAATACAAGGTTCAAGTAATTGATCCTAAAGACACTTGCACTAAACGTAAACTCATATCTGAAATTTCTAAAATTTTTGACCCGCTTGGATTGGTAGGCCCAGTGTCGTTATATGCCAGAGTTTTAATTCAAGATTGCTGGAAATCTAAAATCACATGGGATGAGTCCCTGCCCCAGGAAATTCACACCAGATGGGCCACTGTTGCAGAACAGCTACATCTGCTAGAAAAACTTTCGATTGATCGTCATATCTTGATTCACAATTTTGCACGAATCGAGATACACGGGTTTTGCGATGCAAGCATACGTGGGTATGGAGCATGTATTTATTTCAGGTCCATAGATGTAAAGGGCAAAGTGTTGGTAAGACTTGCATGTGCAAAATCACGCGTCGCTCCTCTCAAAAATATGACTACTCCTCGATTGGAATTATCTGCCGCATCCTTACTCAAAAAACTATACGTTACTATGCGATCTCAATTCGAGCTTCATGTCGATCGGGTAGTGCTGTGGTCCGACTCTACCATCGCACTGCATTGGATTAGCAAGGCTCCCCACTTATTAAGAACTTTTGAATCAAACAGAGTTGCGGATATTCAAACTCTCGGAGCTGAGGTCCAGTGGAGACATGTTCGAACAGATGACAATCCAGCAGACGCGTTATCCAGGGGTCAACTCCCTGCAGATTTTCTCTTAAATAACACTTGGTTTTCAGGTCCGAGTTGGTTGTCCCAAGCAGAGAATACCTGGCCACCCAGTGTGGAGATATCAAGTCGAGAAGACTCTGGGTTCAAACAACGATTCTGCCTTCTAACCACAAACTCAGTGTCTGAGATCTATTCTCGTTTTTCATCATACCAGATTCTTATTAAAACTATAGCTTTAATTTTTAGATGGCGCACAAAACTTAACAAAGGATTACCAATCACCGTTGAAGAAGCACGAGAAGCAGAGCTGAAATTACTGCGTAGTATACAACACGAAAAATTCCCTGTTGAGGTAAAACGTCTGTCGACCGCTCACGACACAGAGTCCGGACAAATTTCTGTTCCTTATCGAAAAACTACCAGATTCGACAATTTACATCCATTCATAGATAACGATGGACTCTTGCGCGTGGGTGGTCGATTGAAAAATTCACAACTTACTTACAACCAAAAACATCCAGTTTTGCTGCCAAGCAAACATCACGTAACCGATTTAATTATTCGACAATACCATCAATCTAATTTACACGGAGGAATACAATCCACTCTTTACTCAATCAGAGAACGCTTTTGGATAATTAATGGTAGAGATCAAGTTAGAAAAATTATCAGACACTGTGTGGATTGTATTCGTACCAAACCTAAACCCTTACAAGCCCAAATGGCTGATTTACCCGCAGCTCGCGTAATCAAAGCCCCAGCATTTAGTCACGTTGGTGTGGACTTCTTTGGACCTCTTTATATTAAGGAAAAACAGTTTAGAAGTAGAACAACCCTTAAGGTGTATGGATGCGTTTTTGTATGCATTATGTCCAAAGCGGTTCACATTGAACTAGCACATGATCTCTCTATGGAAGGTTTTTTAGCCATCTTTCGTAGGTTTATTAGTCGTAGGGGAATACCCAAGCACGTATATTCAGATAATGAGACAAATTTTGTAGGAGCCAATAATGAATTGAGAGAAATTTATGACTTATTTAAAACACCCGAATATGAAAACCAAATCGAAAATTACGCACTTTCTAATCGCATAACTTGGCATTTCAACCCGCCTTTATCACCTCACTTTGGCGGTCTTTGGGAAGCTGCAGTAAAGAGTTTCAAACACCATTTAAAACGCACTCTGAAAAATCATACTCTCACATACGAACAAATGCAAACTCTACTCATTGAGATTGAGGCTATTCTAAATTCAAGACCAATATGCACTCTTTCTGCGGATCCCAATGACCCTCTAGCATTAACACCTGCTCACATACTTATAGGAAAGTCTTTCAAAACATTACCCGAAAAAAATCTTGTTTCAGTTCCTGATAATCGTCTATCCACCTGGAACTTCATAACTAAGGCTTGACAGGACTTTTGAAATCGTTGGCATACTGACTATCTCAATGAGTTCAATATCCGTCAAAAATGGCATGAATCTACTGGCAAAATCAAACCTGGTGCGGTCGTTATTCTCATCGAAAAGACAATTCCACACGGGCGGTGGCCGCTGGGAGTGGTTCTTGAGGTGTGTCCTGGGAACGACGGCATCGCGCGAGTAGCTCAAGTCAAAACCACGACGGGCGTTTATAAACGCAATATTACTAGTTTATGTTTATTACCGATTTCCTAAATTTAATTTGCATATTACGTATTAGATAAAGTTTGCGAAGCGAATTAGTTCCATTAATCTCAATTTGTTTCAATCAATAATTCTAACTTAGTCGTTGTTTCAATTAATATTCATTTTTCAATTTAATCACTGGTTCTAGTCACTCCAAAGGAAACTCGACCGATTGTCAAGATTAGTCATAGACTTACTGAGATTTATTGTAATTTGTAGATTTAGTACAACTTAACTTGTAAATGCGTTCTAGTTGATTGAACTAGTCAATATTCTCATAATTCATCCCTGTTCATTTATTTTATTTATGTTTTGCTCAAAGCTTAATGTTGATCTTAATAACTCTAAATCAAAGACTTTAAATAGATTAGATTAGAGCGCTTTAAAATTAACCTGTTTAGTTATTCATTAGTCTTTTGTTTTAAATCAAACAATTCAAATAAATCAAAGATACTTCGAGCGAGAGACTGAGTTTATTTATGTCAAATTGTTAACTCACATTCATTACCATTCAATGTAAAGCCAATGCAAATTCAAATATGTTAATAGTAACATTCTGCTCATATTAAGTTATATTTAACGTCATTTCGCAGCTCTCGCCCGGAGTATGTACAGTCGTACATGCCTTCATGAGGCTGACAACGCGATGATCCGTCATTGCCTCGTCAGCTTACAAGCATATATACATATTCGCGGCGCACACGCTTGTGCGCCGCCGCCATCTTAAGTCGTTACGCTCGCGTGCCTGCGTGCATGGCTGAGCCAGTCTGTTGAGACACCTCAATGCGCGCGGAGCTCCGTTGCCTCAAATCTAAATCATACTCAATTCGCCCTGACACGGCAATAACACATTCAATTCGCCCTGACACGGCAATAATATCTCTCTGGGCCTTTACCGGCGTTTCTCGCGAGTGCACTCGTCGACATAGCGTTAGTGTAGTCAATTTGTTGTGTATCCGATAGCGTATTAAGCCCGAACAGCTGTAACTCACGGCTCTTGTGCGTGCGTGCGTGTTTTAAGTCGTAGTCGAGTCAAGTGCATGTTAATTTAGTTGTGTTCTTCAATAAAAGGGTTTTTTTTTACCGCAAGGTTTTTTCCCCTCAAAAAAACGCAGTGTCTTCATTTGTTTTCCCTTTCCTTATTTTTCAACTAGGCGAGCGAGTCACCTGCGACTCTCTCTCGCCACGAAACACTAGCTGAGACGCAAATATTAGAAAATTTTACTAGATTCATTAGAAGATTTCTATTTAAAGTTAGATAAAGTGATTAAAATTTTCAAAGATAATCCTGGAGATTTTTGTATAGCCGTAAGCTTAGTGATTTTACAAAGAATTTAAAATACTTAGAAGTAAATTCACTTCATTAATGAAGGTATTTAAAAAAATTATGTATATCATAAAAATTGATTCTAAAAACTTCATCATAGATGTTTTCAAAAATCTTATGAATAGGGAAAGCTTGAAAAGTTTAGACATAAGCCAAGAGACCAGTATCAATTCAGGAAGGCATATTAAAAATGTTACACACTTACACTAGAATAGACAAATATGTAGTTTTATATTCATGTTAACGGGAAATGAGCTATCTCTAGGATATTTAGCTATCAAATTTCTTAACAATCATTTTTTCGTTTGAACTAAAAATTATCTTGAGTCTTTCAATTGGCATACAAATATGCAAAGTCATTGATTCTCGAGTAAATACATCACAAATGCAACACTGGTCAACAACTGTAGCAAAAGCCGAATAAAACCTTTCATACAAAATGCTTCCGATAAAGTTCGAGTACTAAACATGAAATATGATAAGCTCAAACATAAGTTTAATATGACTGACTAAAGGGTACTATGAGTGAAGTTCAGAAGTGTAAGCTTTTAGGATAATGACGGACGATAAATTTTTCAAATTAATTAAAAAAGTGACCAACGAATTTGTGGTACAGACAAATATGCTCAACAAGATTATAAATAGGCTGAATTGAGTTAATTTTCAAGCCCATACTGACAGGAGATCAGTGGATAATGACAACAAAATAAGTAATAAGATCATTGTTTCGACTCAACGATTAAACTTTTTCAAAGCATTATTTTTAACTCTAATCAATGATATGAAAGAGAGACTAAAAGGATTACAAGTATTTTTCCTGAATCGATTCATGAAAGACTCCAAATAGAAAATACTTGGACAGTTCTGTCTATAAAATATAATTTCGAACTATACAAACAGACTTGACTTGACATGTTCCTTGACGAATTTATATAAACGTTTTTAATTATAACTGGGCATATAATTGACAAACCTATTGTTATTATACGGAGCACTTTTTTATTAATTATTAAAATAATCATTATGTTACATTCAATCGTTTTCCATAAATTTAATTTTTAAATGTCACGCGCAGCTCCGACTTCAAACTTTGCACTTGATAGTACCGCCTACCACTCTCTAGGTAGTAACTACCAATTTCTTGTAAACATCGCAAGTAAAGAAGTAGCTTAAAGTATATAAGAAGAGCTGCATGATGACCCAAGATAATTCGACTTAGATCGTGCAAATATGTGTATTACATGTATCTCATTCTTTCCAACTGTCTTCATATGAAACAGAGGTAAAAATACGTACATATTCAATAGAGATCCCTGCACCTTAAACTCTTCTGTCTTTTTACTTCTACCTTTCTGCTCCTATCTCCATTTTTCCTACTTCGTCTGTACAAGGTGCTCATGTCCTCTCCACCTCTCAACCAAGAGTGGAGGCAATTGACTCCTGGTTAGCGAAAAGACGACTGACTTTTACAAGACTACACGGAAAGACCTTTTTCATTTAAAATCCCCTACTTCAATATTTGATCACAAGAAGTACTAGACCAACGTTATATTTATTGCTTACTTACACAGAAATTTTTAGTCTCACCTTTAGTGATCTTAAATTATCTACTGAGTATACTGATTTTAAGACATCAGTACGACTATTTATTGGTGGTGGTACGGTTTTTTCCCTTACCATCAGTAGCCGTGAAAAGTAGATGCACCCAGTCAGTGTATACGGCGTACTATAGTGCGCAGAGCAGTACTTGTTGTATATTTTTAAATGCATACATACATGCGCGCGTGCGCACACACATGCGCATATGTGTGTGTGTATAGTAAGCCTCTTAAAATCTGACACTGATATATATACTTGGAGAGTAAATATACAGTATACCTAACAGTACAATAACATAACCTAATACTAACGTATTTGAGTGTAGGTTTTAAGTAGACCTGGTACGGGAAAAATCCTTACCAAGCTATGACAAACACATAACTTCATGTGGTAGAGGATTTTTAGTGAGACAATAGAAAGAAAATACCGTACCTAGCATTAATATAATCTTATTTNAATACTAACGTATTTGAGTGTAGGTTTTAAGTAGACCTGGTACGGGAAAAATCCTTACCAAGCTATGACAAACACATAACTTCATGTGGTAGAGGATTTTTAGTGAGACAATAGAAAGAAAATACCATACCTAGCAATAATATAATCTTATTTGCCAGTAGAAGAAGACTTCACATGTCCAACATTTTCGAGCGTAGGTTTTAGACAGACCTGGAACGGAAAAAAACCTTACCAAGCTATTAAAAACTCGTAACTGAGTGTAGTAGGGGATTTTCAATAAAAAAGGTCTTTCCGTGTACGTAGTGGTAGATTTCCTGGAGTTCCTCCCTAAGAAACCCACTCGAGACATATCAACACAGTTCCTGGAAGACTTCTTCGAAAATTCTCCCCCACGCCCTCTCAAGACGATAAGAGGTGATTCTACCCAATGGGTTAGGACCACCCCGATCAACTTTAGTGCCTTTGCCATCGAAGGCCAACCCCCCACTTTCCTGTCCGGCCACTACCTCGTCACCGGCCACTAGTCCATAGCCTTTGGAAGGGCCAAAATGTCTCATCCGCAGTGTGGTCCAAGTGCCACACAAAATGACCCAGACGAGGATAGAATGGTTGAAATACACGTAGTCATGATAATTTTGTAATATGCATTTATGTATATCAACCACCCTGACAACTAGGCTTCTCTGATCTCTAAGGATTACTGCACAGCCACCACACATTTACGACGATCTGGACTTTGGAGGAAACGACGATCATACCTCTCCCACAGCATCGGGTGCGATACCACCATCGTTATTTGGCTTGAAGGATCATCTTAACTCTCTGGAAAGCGTCTCCCCTCACCCCCAACTCACCCTCACAGTTTAAAGCTGCCCACCCCAACAGTCTGCTTTTAACACTATGAAACTACCACCCTATACGACAGAATAATTTGGGCTAGTCTTCGTGTGACCTTGAAGAGACGACCTTTTTATATGATTATCTATGTATCAACTTGTGTAATTCTTAATTATGTACATAATCTTTGATATAATATGTAATTTTTAAAAGCGCTATGTTTGTTAGGTTGACGCGCTGTTCTAGCATCAGCAAGATGTAGTCATCCTGAAGAGGCCATTAGTAAAATGGTGAAATCTTTATCCACTTTGTAAATATTTTTTATTGAATAGACATGCTCTAATCGCCCAGTATTTCATATTAAGTTATTTATTACTATTAATCAGGAGCAGGTGTTGAAGAGAATTGGTGTATTGTATAAAAGTTTTAATTTATTTTAGGAATTATTTTTGTATTAGGCTTTTTTTATTGCATTTCAAGTTGTCAACGTTTGTGGGAAAATGTGGTAACTACAATGAAATTTGAT